CGTGGACGACTGGGCTGATGATGATGATGATAATAACGCATTGCTTTTTAAACAATAATTTAAAATGATGGTCGTAACTTCGTTATATTAAAATATAATGTTATATAATATTTCTTTAACTACATTAATAAAATATTTAAAGGTTACAAGTTTTTTTTTGTAAGAATTATTTAAAAGAATAACCAATCTCAGCACACCAATATATTTTGCAATCAACTTTTGTTTTTTAATCTGTGACGTAGATTCGATAGTTCAATTCTTTTCAAATTTTATTTCGAAAAATAAGCAACTATGTAGGTATATTTAGTATACACCAAAAGAAAAACTAGTTAACAGTCATCCACACAACTTCTTTATTAATTTTGATATCTGTGACTGAAACCTTACGTGTCGTCATCAATAAAAGTACCGATTGGTTGTTATTAATTTAAAATGGAGAAAAACTTGTAACCTGCTTAATATTGTTTAATTAATCACATTACAAAAATACTGTTGGACACAACGTAGGAATAAGCCTACAATTTTCAATACTATATAAGTAGCTTATAAATGAACGTGTTACATTCACAAATATTAGGGTAGGTACTTTCCTATTTTATTAAAGTAAATGTTAATAAATTAATTTAGAATCCCTGTAAACAATTTCTTCACGTGCGTAGTCTGCAAGAGTAAAACTTAAATGTTTAGTATTATAGTATTTAGGGATGAAGTCTACTCTATTTCAATTACAAAGTCCCTTTTGACACTTCTTAGAACGTAGCTCTTCATGTTTCGCATTATTTAAAATAACTAGTGGTCGCCCGGTAATCGAAATTCGACTATAATGAATTGAAATTAAAAGTGTACCAACACTACTATGATTATATTTTCAAAGACTATTCTGTAATCACACATTTCGCCAAGACTACACTATAAAAAATATTAACAAAGACAAACAATATTTAATCTCAATTTGACCACAGACGTCAAGAACAAAAGTTTGACAATAAATAGTGTGCATGCGTGTGTGCGTCAAATACATGGTATGTAGTGTGTGTAATGTTTTCTTTATTGACTTCATGTATCTTTTATGCATTATTTAAAAAAAATATTAGCATTATGCACTTCTTCTCTATATTCTCTATAAGTGTGGAAAATTTCATAGTTCTCCGTCCACGCAATTTTCGTAAAAAGGGATACAAAGTTTTTGCTTCACGTATTAATATATAGATAATCATTTTGCGTTCATGGTCGTAAATATCATTTAAAAAATATACAATCAATCTATATCATTATACAATTAATTCACACACACAATAACAATAATTAATTATGACGAAGCTTGTAGCTGAAAGTAAGTTTTGTACTTTTTGACGAAGCATGTTGCTGATAGCTCTGTTTCTATAATCTGACGAAGCGTGTTGCGGATAATAATATGTACTTTTAGGTTATTAAACTACATTGCTATATGATTTATATAAATAAAATAATTAATAACAATAACATCTGTTGACAGATGATCCCATTTGAAGGGGACTTCGTAATTGGAATAGAGTATAGTGTCGCTTAAATTTTAGTTTTACGCGATTTAAGGAAAGGAAAAACCGTTAGTTGAATCGACTAGCTTATGTATTTATGTAGCGATCCATGTTATATGCTTACGGAAAGAGAAAAGCCTTACAATTCTGTTACAAAAGTTAAGCCTTACAAAAGTTAATTCAAATTTGTATGGAGTTGGCATGAAAAGCGCCCCTAGCGGCAAACGTAGTGGAGTTGTTCCAACACCATACAAATTTGAATTAACTTTTGTAAGGCTTAACTTTTGTAACAGAATTGTAAGGCTTTTCTCTTGTATTACTTTACAGAATTGTAAGGTTTTTTTTTTTTTTCCTACCTATGCTGATAGCCTTGAGAGGCTATTTCAGCTTCACCCTAACGTTTGTAGGTGAGCTCGCGGGGCTCAACCGGAGAGTTGCTAACACTGGCCCTAGCAAGAGCAGTGCTTCGCAGAATCTACCACCGGATCGGAAACGCGACCCACTGAGAAGATCCGGCGAGAAACTCAGTGGGCTAGTACAAATTTGAGTTAACTTTTACGCTATCAAGAAGTTAAAAAACTCGTACAAAGCTCACTAATGTATTCTTTAGTCAACTACTCGACAAGTTAAAAGTTAGAAATAAATCGTGTGTAGGTTCACTTATTTGTTACATACACCTTTAGGCAATATTTTATACACGATTTTTGATACCTTTCTTTGACAGTTCCTGATTTATTTTTCATTTTACAGAATATTTTTTTTCTATTATAGAATGTATGTGACCTTTAGTTTCTTTAAATTTTCGATATTCATGCATGATTTAACAATAAAGAAAAAAAAGTAAAAACTAAATAGTAAAGTACCATACCATAATTAATTAAATATTTCTATAATAAAAACACCTATCACATTTATATATTTTTTAGTCTCAACACCGATTTTTTTGAACATTTATTATAATATTATATTAAATAATTATTATTTTTAGTAAAATTCAGGAATAGCATTTTTATTTTAATTAAGACGCTATTTAGATGTACCAGTCGATTAGTACAAAGGTGACTTTTTTAAAAATGGCGGGATTATGTTGATTTAAAAAACACAGTTTTGCAACGCCACAAAACGTCGTTATAAGCCCAAAGTATTCAAATAGCAATTACAAAAGCCAATTTTATTCGTAACTATTTTCTTATTTATTCCAAAAAAAAAGTCCCCTTTGAACTATTTGACTGTTAAGTTTATAAATTGATATTATTATGAGATAAGATCATAGATTTTTTTTTAAAGTTTTATATTAATGTTTAAAAATGAAATAGTCTCTAGGAACAATACTTATTCCAAATATAAACTCAAGAAGCAAAGTTATAGAAGCAATAATGAAACATGAATTTTGCTTACATGTGTGTATATAGCAATATATTTTTTTATTAACTGTTCTGATAGACGGTAAGTAATAATTACCGAAGATAAATTTAAAGATAACATGTTCTTGCTTAACAATTTATTTATCTCTCTTTGTTCCGTGAATGCGACAAAACGTTGCAATTAATAATTTTATTATAATACTTTTTAAGGATTTTAAATACGCTATTTGCACACACATAGGCAATTCTCATGTCCCGTTGCTTAGCTAATACACAGAAAAACATATAAATTAACATAATAGTATTATTTAGTACCTACGCTTACTTCTCGACTAGAAAGAGACTAGAGAATATTCCAACTAAATTACTTAGGTGGGATTCTAAGAGGAATATTGTGAGCCGTATCCTGAATTTATATTTTTTTGTCTAGAAAGATGACCGCGTAATTTATTCGTGGCGTTACTGTTATTGTTCGTTCTTCAAATANATTGTGAGCCGTATCCTGAATTTATATTTTTTTGTCTAGAAAGATGACCGCGTAATTTATTCGTGGCGTTACTGTTATTGTTCGTTCTTCAAATAAAAAGTTTGAGGAACATATCGACGCTTGAAAGGCAAACTTGACTAAGCGACAATAACTGCTTTGTACATAAATGATAGGCAATAACCATATTCGATGCGAAAAAAAAATATATTTGTAGGTTTATTAAAATCATTTCAATCCAACAGCTAGATTCGTTAAAATAGATGTTTTTCCAGGTATTTCTCAGGTATATTCTAAATTAATTTCAAGTTTAAATTAGTCTACTGTAAAGTTCACGCATTGTCGTTTAGTCACGCCTTTCAAGCGTCGATATGCAGAAAGTAGGTAGTGAGCACAGTGATGTGTTGGCTCTACAAAAAAAATCAAGGCAATCTATAGAATAATATTTGAGTTTGTAATCGATGACATACAAATAATGTAGATGATATGTTCAAAGTTCCGCACTGGAGCTAGGAGTTTCTCCTGTCTTCGGTGTCTAGGATATAAATAAATACGAACCAGATGTACCAACACATTGTCCTCTAATACAAAAAAAAGGTACCAACAGAAAAATGTACATTTCTTCTATTTGTTATTTATTGTACAGCATTATTTTCATTTATCCGAACAGTGTTCGAACGAGACTGCATTCCGCACTGTCTGGTGGCAACAGCTATCTATATTTATTTAAAGAATTCGTGCCGCCAACAATGACTGTTACAACTATACATTAGAGTGCATATTGACAAATGCATGAATTGGCGCCTTCATTATTTTTGCGTTTCCAGCAAAAAACACGTAAATTCAGGATAAAGCTCGAAGAAGGAATTATAAAGTTTAAAGCTAAATTTTTATGACACTGAAAGCGACATATATAAAGTTGATAAGTACCGCTAAAATATTTTCTTCCTTACAATAATCATAAGAAAATCAACGAGGTACCGGCGACCCCGTGCTCTTTTTCCAGAGCATCCTTGATTGATTTGCTCTTTGAGTATCATCTTGTTTGTGAATACAATTAGATTCTTAAATTATTTCACTGTGATAAATAGCAAGATAGTAGTACATTTATTGTTAAATGCATATTTCAAAGTACTTACGTCATGACAGTTAATATCTAAATGTCATTATTCGATTTTATTTCACCTCTGCCCGGTTTTGTCTTAATTACCCATGCTGTGTAGTTACAGAGGCGACAAAAAAACGTGATTACATACTACAATAATGCCGATGAGTTATTCCTGAATGTTTATGAGCTTAATTGTAATTGTCTTTATTAGCTTACGTCTACAACGAGAAAGCGGTTAGTAATGTCACCATTCATTGGATATATTAGGTCCTGGAACTAACTGTTCTATCCAGTGAATAAAATTCAAAATTCCCCTTTATTAAACATTTGTAGTGAATATAACCAAATATGTGCATGAATTGACGGCATCGACATTTTTAACGACACGTATCTTGGTCTCAAAAACAAACTAGTATCCAAGCTCCTTTGTTTATAATTGATGAGAGAATGTTAAATAGTCAACCCTTGTCAGTATTTTCTTTTCAATTTTTTTTTTTATGTCGGTAATGCATCAGTGACAGTTGAGTGTTTGCCAACGAAAGCTAATAAAACAATAAACAATAGGAAAGTTCTTGAAGACAGAAGTCCCGTTTTAAAGTTTACAGTTACGAATTAGAAAAGTGTTAAAGCTCTGATTCAGTGATCATTACAGTGAATTGTTTGTTGATCAGTAGACGGAGTGTATGCGGTTTTTACATCTTAACGGCGTGAAGAAAAATCAAAACGAAATAAAATTCCACTTGGGCGTCAGTTTTAAAACATATGAGGAGGAAGGGAGGTATGCACAGGAATAAGGTTGGCTGTTTGCTAATAACTTAGTCCCTGAACGGGAATAGGCCTCCGACTCCGGTCGCGTCCCAGTCCGCGACCTCGACCGGCCCGAAACAATCGTCGAAGAACTGCTCCAAGGTCTTGTGGAGGTGGATGGACGAGCGCTCGAAGTTGTGCCCCTCATCTGGATATATCTGGGAATTACCGGTCATAAGTTAAATACAAGATGTGAGGGAGGTGTCGGAAAGATTAGTGTAGATTACTGATGTGACTTATTAAATGTTATTTTGTATAGTCTGTGTACAAGTACCTATATTCTATGTCATAGTCTCTATGGTCTATGCTTGATACTATCACTGATTCAGTATCATGCTCGGAGCCATAGATAATACATTTAATATTTCTCGGAGCGTCTAGGCGACCTGTCGTGTCGTCTACGTCCTATTATAATTTAAAAACGTATGTCTTAATTTTTTTTTAGTATTGCAGGATTACTTGTGGCTTGGAGGCCTTTCCAGTTTCACCAGGACAAGTGGGCGAGCAAAGGCTCAGCCAGAAGGGGTGGGATTTGCTAACAGCTGTCCGAGCGCCCCCGAAGGAGACCTAATAACTCAAGAGAAGCTGCTTCGCGAATGAATCTACTACCGGATCGGAATCGCGACCCACTGAGAAGATCCGGCGAGAAAATCAGAGGGCTGATGCATGGGTTAGGTTGCACGGCGAACTCTTTGTCGAGTTCGACGAGTACGGCTACCGGGGTCCCTAAGCCTGCTCCTAGTGTTAAATTATGTAATGAATGTATGTATTAAGTATGTCTTATTGTTGACCCGTCTCTTAAGAGTCATGGACACTATAAGTAATGTAATCGTTCGGTACTGTAGATAGTTGGGAGGGATGTGGTACCTGGTGCGTGTAGAGTGCCCCGGCCCGCACCAGCGCCCGCGCCAGGGCGAGCGCGTGCGGCGGCGGCGCGGCGAGGTCGGCGGCGGCGTGCGCGAGCAGCACGCGGCGCGGCGGCAGGTTCCCGGCGCGCCGCCACACCGCGCCCGCACCCAGCGCGCCCGCCCAGCCCGACCCGTACCCGCCGTAACGCTCCGCCCAGTACGACTCTACACGGGCACATATGCAATTATCATAAGACCAGCTCCAAACCTTGGGCCACGGTAACACTAGCTTGTGGCTATGNTAGAGTGCCCCGGCCCGCACCAGCGCCCGCGCCAGGGCGAGCGCGTGCGGCGGCGGCGCGGCCAGGTCGGCGGCGGCGTGCGCGAGCAGCACGCGGCGCGGCGGCAGGTTCCCGGCGCGCCGCCACACCGCGCCCGCACCCAGCGCGCCCGCCCAGCCCGACCCGTACCCGCCGTAACGCTCCGCCCAGTACGACTCTATACGAGCACATATGCAATTATCATAAGACCAGCTCCAAACCTTAAGCCACGATAACACTAGCTTGTGGCTACGGCATCTTGAGGGCGTTATATTTTATGATCTTTGCGACTTGCGGTTTGAAGGGTGGGGCAGCCGTTGTAACTATACTGAGGCCTTAGAACTCAGACCTTTTTACTAGTGGTAGGACCTCTTGTACGGACTTTCGGCCGTGAAGCAGTAATGCGTTTCGGTTTGAAGGGTGGGGTAGCCGCTGTAACTATACTTGAGACTTTAGAAGTTATATCTCATTGGCGGGGGCATTTGCGTTGTGGATGTCCATGGGCTCCGGTAACTCCTTAATACCAGGTGGGCCTTGCTTGTCCACCCATCAATGCAATAAAAAAAAGACTAATAAGGTGCGGTAATTGATCTATTTAACACGTCAAACACCATATGAAAAACAAGGTATTTTCATTCAGGCCACTGTGCTCACCGGTGAACTTTATCTTACTGAACCGTCCGGGTCATGAGGGTCAACAAAACGCATATGGAAGTGAGCCGCGTGGCTCTTTAGCCGATCTGAAAGGCGTGGTTTTCAAATCCAAGAGAAACATGCAGTTTTTTTTATCAATGTTATAAGCCTTTTAAAATGTTAAAAACTGGACGGTAAAAGTCACTAATTTTTATTTTCTTTAGCGAGCGAGCCTCCACATTGGCCATTGAATGCAAAATTATAGACTACATATTACAAATAAAAAATAAAAATTACAAATAAATCACTAATATAAAATAAAAAGAATAAAATTACTAATATATAAAAATTACTAATAAATTAAGAGTTTCATAAAAAAAACATAAAAAGCAAAAACTAAGTATCTACATAATTTTGCAGTGACTAAGTCAGGGCCCTGAAGCTGCGATACTTTAATATAAATATTTTTTCTGTATGCATACTAGCGACATCTTGTAGCGGATGCTCCTAAACTTATATGTTGTTAAAGTTATGACTTCTAATTATTGTATAACTAAACATGAAAAAAAATCATACAAGTCCTTCTTTGTAATAGAAAATTTGATTATATTTTATCAATTTGTGGTTTCCGAAAATTTACAAAATCCTTCATTAAAAATAAAAAGATAGGTAAATGTTACTGCCATCTACAGGAGAAATGAGAAACTAATCGAAGCGAAGCTATCTAGTGGCCGACGCCCGTAAACATTATTGTTGAGTGCTTGTGCTGCTTAACTATAACTAATTTTAACTAATTTATGTGTATTACCAACCAAGCTTAGGCGAGCTTTAGTCATGCCGCGGGGGGGTGGGCGCGTGCTACTCACTGTGGTGTCTGAGGTCGGTGAGGGGCGCGACGGCGGCCAGGCAGCGCGTCACGTTGCGGGCGTCGTCAGCTGCGAGCGCGGCCGCCGCACCGCCGCCGTACCCGCGCCCCCACACCCCCACTCGGCTGCCGTCCACCATCTTCAGGTTATCGCGGAGATACCTACACGACAGCAAGCGAAAGTGCGCCTCAGAATATATCAGTTAGGGTCGCCGCACACGGGCCACACGCGACATCCACAAACGCCGCCACGAGAAGCTATAAACGGCTGCAAAGGTAGCTGAAGCGCGCGACAACCACTTATGGCCGGTGGGCGACATTTGCGGTCGGTGGCTGATACTTTTTGTAACCCATGCGCGCAGTATCATAATGGACTCTTCTTCTTTTTCTCCACATTATCCCACTAGGTGGGGTCGGCACAGCTAATTATTCTCTTTCATTCTCTTCTATCAGCCGCCATCTCAACACTCCTCTCTCTCATATCGTCATTCACACACTCTATTAATTTTTTCCCCGGACCCCCTCTACCTTGCACTACCATTTCCATACATCTCCTAGTCACATGCATCTTCTCTCTTCGTATCACATGTCCATACCACGCTAACCGGCCGCTCTTTAATTTATTGATTACCGGGGCTACTTTCACACTTCCTCTGATATACTCATTCTTTATCATGTCCTTTCTTTTCACTCCACACATATATCAACATTCGCATCTCTGCCACATGCACATCATAATAGACTCTGATAATTCTATATCCATATTTATTTCAATCAACATCAGCCTACATGCGTGCGTTGCGTTCGGATTGAACAGGTAAACTGAGGTAAGAGAGAGAGGGATGGATGAAGCTAGCGACGACGATTAGTAGCGTGTGGCGGCCGCCGACGCCCACCGTGTGTGCCGAGTCTATAATGTATGAAAATTACAGGATATTTCCTGTCGGTGGCGGCGTTTTGTGGTTATGGCCTTATGGCCAGTGGCCCGTGTGCGGCAACTCTTAATACTAACCAACCCAATCAAGACTGTTCAATCAAAATATGAACATTAGAATTTTAATGTGAAACTGTGATGGTAACACCTAAGTAATAACTAAGTTAGCTAATTTAAGTTTTGCTCATGGCAACCCTCTCTTCCGTTTCTGCTTTTTAGGCCAGTGCATGGAAAATTGTAATTAAATTATAATAAAATTAGAATAAACGAGAATGTTCATTTTACAAGCCTATATTTTATTCACACATAGCATAATGGTCCTTCGAAGTGGTTCTCCTGACATAGTAACCAGCAAGTTGGCTGTTTTCTCCGATTTTCGCGAGTGAAGCGTTAAGGTGACATGCAGTTTAATTTTCTAACTTAACTCTTCCACTACAGTTAAATGCTGATTTACAAATCCACGTGATGTCGTTCGTCCTTCGTAAGCTGAGTCGTAGTAACGGGTCAGACCTCGGAGCCAAACCACAACCCGGGGCTATCACACAGTAAGCCCTCTGTTATTATTTCCGTTTTTCAGCTTAAGGCAATAACACGATGACGCGAAATGAATAGAAGGCAATACTCACGACAGTACGGCAATTTGATCTTCCACGTCTATGGACATCAGTTTGTGGTATATCTCCGTCCTCAGCTCCTCACCCTGGAATGTTATCATTATGCTATTTGATATCACATCTTTTACTTAGTGGTTCATATGCCTAAATACTACGGTTAAACTACTACTACTACTATCCGTCCCTATTCCCGTTATCTGGGGTCGGGTCTCCTCACTCTACGGTGCCAGGCTGATCTGTCCTGGGTTTGGTTTTGGCAATTGGACTTTCTTAAGGTCTCTTTCGATGTTTGACCACCAGGTCGATGGCGGGCGGCCTCTACCTGTCTTTTTTGTTCTGGCAAACTTAATGCGATTTTCACTAGATGGTCTTCGTCCCGTCTCATGATATGACCATAATGAAACTAATTCTTTCTTAACCTGGTGACCTAGCACTGAACCACTGACTTTTGTAGCACAGGTTTTCCTAGCATAAAAGTCAGGGAATTTTGTTATTGTATACCTCATAAAAAAGCCATGTATATTATTATACTAGTGTTAAGAATTCTTGTACGTGTTTGCATTTTAAGAGGCTTGAATAAAATATTATTATTATGTGTATTAAGCACTACCACTTATTAATATTAATTGGATTTATTGTGGGAATCCGCAGTGCTTTTGAAATTAGCTTTAAATTGTCTTTACTGGACATCTTGTGAGTCCGCACGGGTAGATATCACCGCCCTGCTTATTTCTGCTGTGAAGCAGTAATGCGTTTCGGTTTGAAGGGTGAGGCAGCCGTTGTAACTATAGTGAGACCTTAGCGTGGCGGCATTTATGTTATAGAAATCTATGGATTAACCATTTAACACCAGGTTGGATGTGAGCTGGCTCAGCCGTCTACGCAAAAAAAAAAATTTGCACTATTGACTCCTACGAAGATTTGCAAATCAAAATTAAACTCTAAACACGTAATATGTTTAGAGATCAATTTTTATTAACGATATTATTGCCGATTGAATAGATTGAATGCAAGATGATTTACAGTAGCCTAGCTAATATTGGTTCATTATGGGTGTTAGGATCACACCCATCCGAGACAAGAATAAGTTTTTCAATAAGCACTTGCAAGGGTAGTTAATGAGCACATCAGGAAGGATCTGACCTGTCCACCGGACCCGCGCGCGTCGATCTGCGCGACGATAAAGTTCCTGGTGGCTGCGAGGTACCAGCCCCAGCCCGGGGACCAGCGCTCGGTCACCAGCTGACCTCCGGGCTCAGCGGACCTGCAAAACAGTGGTATTTGTATTAATACAGCAGCTTGAGAACGCCGAAAGGTAACACGAACTTTGTTAGAAAATATACAGGACTCAGAGAATAAAATCCATTATTACATCTACATACTTAAATATAATAAGCTACATTAAGGCTACTCTGGAGACATATTAAATAAAGACCATATAAATGTTTAAATTTATTGGAGCATCGCAAACGATTTTGGATTGTTTTTAATACGCTTTTATTAGCTTCAGACGTATGTATGTAACGGAATCATTTAACATGATTTTGACCCCCTTCAAAACGTCGGATTAACTCGAAACTTGGTATACTTATTAAGGACCGATGACAATTCAATATTAAAAAAAAAAAAAAAAAAATTGAAATGCAACTATAAAATGAAAATAAATAATTATTTAAAAAAACTAACAAAATACGCTTTTATAGAAAATCCAACTAAAAAATAGAAAATAAATTTTAATAAATTTGAATTAAAAATGGTGTAAGAAAAAGTGATTTTATTGTAAAAAAAGCGTTTTTTAAACTATTATTTTTTTAACTCATTTTGCTTTCTATGAACCTTTTCTTACTAAATATCTTTCTTGTTATACAAAAGAGTGTGCAAACAACTAAAACTGTCGCGAAGAATGCAGCTTGAGGTGTGGGACAACCGTTACATATCACATTTTATCACAAGGCAACATTCACGGTGATGGGTTCTGTATACACATACGTTACGTCACCACTCATAGTACGTAGCCAAACATTCAAACAGATGCATGTCTGCTTTAACAGAAGTAGGCACCCACCCATCCAGGCTCACAGAACCCTGGCGTCAGTAAGGCGTGCCCAGTCATGGGTATCATTTGTAAGATGGCGCCTGTCACAGCCCTGTACTTACACGTGCAACACTAGCGGTAACGGCAGGTCATCCGTCTCTTTAAACCCTGGTGGCAGTAGCAGCCTGACCCGGGCTTCCCTTTCTGCTTGTACCTGATTAAAATAATATATTTATAGAAAAACGTTCAGCGTTTTTATTATTGGCTTCAAATATGAATGTTTTTTTTTATTATTTAGAAGTTGAACTATAGTTGACCAAGAAAGATCAACATCCACAGTGGAATAGAAAAACGCAAGTCTGTGTGTCTTCTGTTAGAGTGGACTTGTCCAATGCAATTTTAATTCATTAACCAATGCTTCGGAAAGGTATCTGAGATGTTCGGGAAACACCACAGGTCTGCTACTTTATCAGTATTGTTACGCCGGTAAGAGTAACGCCATCTATCGCCGAATAGCCGGACGAATATCGAAGGTACTAGTAAAATCGAGAAGTACAACGCTATGTATTGCCAGATAGCAGAAACAAACATCGAAGCTACTCGACTTGCCCAGAATGTTCTCGATAATTGTAGAGATGTCGTATCGACTATAAAAGCGTTGCAGAGATAGCACGCAGTCGGTTAGTAATCGGAACTACTCGAAGCAAAACAGAGAACGGATCATTTAAATGGTGGGCAGCGGCTTGGCTCTGCCCCTGGCATTGCTGACGTCCATGAGCGACGGTAACCACTCACCATCAGGTGCTGTATGATCGTCTGCCTGTACGGCATTAAAAAAAATCTGAAGCGAATCGAAGCGAATTGAGAATTTTAAAGTGCTTGTTAAGTGTTCTAAGTGCTAATTTGCACTTTGGTAGTTTAGGAACACAGTCGTACATAGCCTACCCGACACGTCAGACACTTGTGACAAAATACGGAGTAAAATCGGACCTAACTTGTTTTATTTATAAAGGGCAGTTAAGACCCTTTACATTGCATCAGAAACCGTACAGGTAGAATTTTATTTATCCCGAACCCCAGCCCGTAACAATATATTAATGTCCAAAATTATAAATATGTTTTCACCTCGACCCTGAACACTTTGACTTGCGGATGAGCCAGTTGTCCAAACTTGTGTCTGAGTGGCCAGCCGTCCCACAGCACGGCGCGGCGCTCCCCCCAGTGCGTGCACAGGAACGTCACGGGAGGACCGGGACCCAAGCACTCCTGGAAGCGAGCGTGTTAACATTACCGGCGGTAGGACGTCTTGTAAGTCCGCACGGGTAGGTACCACCGTCCTACTATTTCTGCCGTGAAGCAGTGAAACCTTTCGGCTTGAAGGGTGGGGCAGCCGTTGTAACTACACTTATTTATTTTATTTATTTATTTAATAAGTTGCACCAACAAAGTGATCATCAATACAAAACATTGACAAATTGACAAAAGTTCATGGCAGATGTCACCTCAATTATAGGTGCAATCGACATTGCATTAACATCAAAAATAAAAATAAAATAAACAGCTAAGATTTGAATACATTTCATTCATTGCTTAAGATTAATTTAATTGGGAGATGATCCGCGACAGATTTTTCCTGTAAGTAGTGAGACAATTTGAACAAACATCTATTTCACTTAAAATAAGTTCAGCGCAATCGGACAACTCCGAAGGAACATTGACGGAGACCGCGCTACCGTGGACATTATTGTAGTCCCAAAGGATTCTGTTTAAGGGAGAGTAAGCACCTAAATTCGAACGAGCGGGCTTTCTTATAAACGATTTATATTTCTTCGTTCTTGGTAGGTACTTAGGGGCTGATATTTTTCACTTGAGACATTAGAACCTATATCTCAAGGTGGGTGGCTCATTTACGTTGTAAATGTCTATGGGCTCCAGTAACCACTTAACACCAGGTGGGCTGTGAGCTCGTCCACCCATCTAAGCAATAAAAATAAATAAAAAAGTGAGCGATTTTCTTTATAACTCTATGCTCGTTGTTGTGCACGGGATGTGCATACCAGGTGCCGTAGCAATCAAATACCAGAAGATGTTTTTTATGATATGCTTGGTTTTTGGGGCAGTATTATTATATCACAAAATTAGCGAAAGATAGCGTACTTGACAATGGTCTGTCTAATGTTAATGTTACATCGATCATGTTATGATTATTGTTTTTAAGTCAGTACGCGACCGAGCCGCGTTCTTGCTCAGTCGACTCTACGCCTCGATTTGCAAGTGAAGTAAATTGTTCCTTCGTAACAAGGTGACACTCTACAAAACTTGCATACGTCCCATCGTGACATGCAAGTGTAGTGTTCGCCCACGCGGCTCGCATGCACATAAACTCTTCTCAAGTCATCCAATCGCGTTTTCCCAATTATTGTTTGAAAAACAACATTTTTGATAGGCTATATCAGCTTTACCCTAGCGTGTAGGTGAGCTCACGAGGCTCAAACCTGATGACGTTGCTTACACCAACCCTAGCAAGAGCCGTGCTTCGCAGAATCTACCACCGGATCGGAAACGCGATCCACTGAGAAGATCCGGCGAGAAACTCAGTGGGCTGTGTCTGAGGGTAAAAAACAACAATACCTGTACGTAATATGAGAAGTTCTTGCTAAACATGATCCTGTTGTACAGACACTCGCCGGGTAGCGAGTCATTCTCATCGGCAACGTGCGGGAGCACTGTCGAGGACGGCCACGCCGGCAAGGACGACGTCCCGTTCTCGTATTCCTGAAGGCGAACATTCACAAGTTTTTACTGGTGGTAGGACCTCTTGTGGGTCTACACAGGTAGGTACAACCATCCTGCCTGTTTCTGACACTTCGACCTTCATTTCTCAACGTTGGTGGTGGGTTTATGTGCTACAGTAGCCATTTAATATCCAAATGGGCCGAGAGCTCGTTGACTTCTCAATAAAATTAAGAATATTTGTCAAATAACTCTCTCACCAGGTCGTCCGGGTCTGCTTCGGTGGTAGTAGGTGGTGCTGGTGACACTGAGCAGGTGAGGCAGACCGGTGGTGGTGTCCACACGCCCGGCTCGATCCCACTGACGCGGTACAAATGTCTCTCTCCCGGCTTGTCCACACCAGTGCCCACCACGTACCTACAGATTGAAGATGCTGATGAAGAATACATTGATGATTGATGGTTTCTGCCGAACCGTCTGCGGGCTGTTGCTTAAATCATTTTGTGGCAGACTTTTAGCACCTAATCAGTTTATAATAATAATTTACTACGCGATAAAAAGATTTCTTCCCAGGAGGCAGTACAAAATGCTTTCATACAGTTTGTAGAATCTAGATCAGTAGAGTTCTATCGAAAAGGCATAAATGACATTCCTATTAGATGGCAGCAATGTATAGATAGTAATGAGAGTTACGAATTTCAGTTTTTCAGCACAAATCAGCAATTTCATACTTTAACCCCTTATAATAAATGATTGAGGAAAAATTACTCTTGGCAATTTGCCCCAGAGTAGGATGTCGTATAGTAACCAGAGTCTAGTAAGCATATTTATAAATGTTTAAATATACACTAACTATAGTTCTAACGAGCTAATGAACACATTTGTGACGTACAAGAATTTCCTTTTCTCATCCCATCCTAGCAGCTGCGTGATCTCAAAGCTGCCCTGTGTTAGAGGGGTTCTTCCATCTATTGACACTTTGACGGCATGTCTCCAGATCCCAGTTGTGTCTGCTACGGGGGACGTAGTGTAGATCCCCGACCGAGAACCGACGAGGGCGTGTCCGAAACACCACCCGCAGTCTTCCTCCACCGGTTCAGCCCCGAGGCCTGACCAGCGCGAACCGTCCGTTTCGTCGCGGTAGATCTGCAAATGGACTTTCAGTACAGTTCGGCCTGTAGAGATAGTAATATTTTTACCACAAATCACACTGCCCTGTTTTTGTCATGAAGCAGTAATACGTTCCGGTTGCAAAGGTTCTCATAGCCATTGTAGTAAGGCCAAGAACTGGCTGACTGAAAACTAAGAGACTAAGAACTCGTGTCTCAAGATGGGTGGCGGCTTTGATGTTGTAGATGTCTATGGACCCCGGTAGAAAAAGTTTGTTGAGCCCACCACTCTAGACAGTGTAATGAAACATGAATCGTACATAGAACCACTGATATTATTCATCACTACATATCTATTGTGAAGTCGTCGTGGCCTAAAGGATAAGATGTCCGGTGCATTCGTATGTAGCGATACACCGGTGTTCGAATCCCGCAGGCGAGTACCCATTTTTCTGATGAAATACGTACTTAACAAAGTTCACGATTGACGTCCACGGTGAAGGAATAACATCGTGTAATAAAAATCAAACACGCAAAATTATAATTTGCGTAATTACTGGTGGTAGGACCTTTTATGAGTTCGCGCGGGTAGGTACCACCATCCCGCCTATTTCTGCCGTAAAGCAGTAATGCGTTTCGGCTTGAAGGGTGAGGTAGCCGTTGTAATTATACTGAGACTTTAGAACTTGTATCTCAAGGTGGGTGGCGCATTTACGTTGTAGATGTCTATGGGTTCCAGTAACCACTTAACACTAGGTGGGCTGTGAGCTCGTCCACCCATCTAAGCAATAAAAAAAAGACGATAGTTGTAAAATGCGTCTTAAAGAAAACATTTCCACTGAATGACAATCTTACATCTTGACAATTGTATTGAGCTGCACTACAAACGCTGATGATGGAGACGTTTTGAGCCCGGTTGAGGAGCAGAACTGCTATCTGCTTCTCCGACATCCACTCTGTCCAGCGCACGTACCAAGCTGAAGATAGATATAAAATTACAGTTAAAATAAACGTTGGGCTTTTGAGGAGTATAAGGGCTTATAAGGGGTGCGGTTTTTTTATAAAGGCCACAAATTGCCTGTTTCCTTCACACTCACAATCCCTGCCTATTTCTGCCGTGAAGCAATAATGCGTTTCGGTTTGACGAGTGGGGCAGCCGTTGTAACTATGCTGAGACCTTAGAACTTATATCTCAAGGTGGGTGGCGCACTTACGTCGTAGATGTCTATGGGCTCCAGTAACCATTTAACACTAGGTGGGCTGTGAGCTCGTCCACCCATCATCATCATCATCAGCCTTTATCTGCCCACTGCTGGACATAGGCCTTCCCCAATGCCTTCCACATAATGCGGTCCTCCGCCTTCCGCTTCCAACGACTTCCCATCCACCCACCTCAGCAATAATAGAAAAAAAAAACATTAAGCCAGTTTAACACGTACTTTTGTCCACTTGTGATGAAAACTGTATCGCATGAGGGAACAGATATTTCGGCGTTTTTAAACTGACAACGTATATTGTTACTTCAGGGTTGTTGGTGTTCACCTGGAAAGAGAACTTTATCTTAACAGAATCTTGGGATGGTGGCGTCAATTTCATCTTCAACATCTTATTTTAATAAATATTATTATAATATCTTTAAATATTTACAAATTGAAAAATAATAATCTTTAAAGTATTTTGGGTGTTCTACAATTAACAATCAACGTTCATAATCAATTCGAGTGTCCATGTAAACCAACCACTTCATTACACTCACACGCACTTACACACATCGACACAACACAATCAGATTCAAACTTATTCTGCAAGTTATCATTCGACAAAATTAATCTATCTATTTAACTGCCTTACCTTTACCTGAGTTGGACTACCTGTGTTCATTAATTATGTTAACATTTTTTGGAAACATAATGTGTTTCTTTAATTGGCTCATGTTTGGGAAAACATCCTCTGTACCCTGTGTCTAGTTAAATGCTGTAGAAACATTGTTGATTAAATAAATAAATAAAATTATTGTTAAGGCATATTGTGAGACTCTGCAAGGAAATCTGGTGCAAAGTAATGTGTTGTGGCTTGAAGGGTGGAGCAGTCTCATGTCATAAGGAGAATGGTCAAATTTGCGTTGCTACGTCCATAGGTTCAGGGATTCTTTTCACAGATGGTAGGCTCTAATATTATACATATTTCAACAAACTTTACCTACCTTGGGATACCTGACCGATTTAATTATGGGATAAGCGGGCGGTTCAGGGTCGTCCAGACCATACCACGGGTATTTGTGTTCTTGGACTTGGGAGTTGTTGTACGTCGCGAACATGAGGGTCTGACCGTCCGGACTGAACCATAATGCTCGGTCTAACCGCAACACTTCGGTCTCGTATAAGAAATCTGGTACTCCATTGAATATTACTCCCGGGACACCTGAATGCAAAAGAGTAAGAGAGAGTTCTTTCAGAAATTACATATTTGCTTACGAAGCTTGTGAGCAGATTACAGATGGGAATTTCAATAAAAAGTTACTTCTTAGAAGTAGTACAGTCTAGATCAGTGGTCGCCAACCTTGTCGTTCAAAAGAGCCAAATGTAGATACATAATAAACAGTTGAAATTTTATTCAGACTTTTCAGAGACGCCGGTAAGAGTAACGCCATCTATCGCCAAATAGCCGAACAAATATCGAAAGATCTAGTAGCATCTAGAACGCTCGAGAAGTACAACGGCATCTATTGTCAGATAGCGGAAAACAATACTAGAGATGTGTGGAATATTCTCGATAATTCTAGGGATGTGGTATCGACGTGGGGGATGGCACGAAGTCAGTCAGTAATCGGAACTACTCGAAGCGAAACAACGAACGGATCACCAGAAGCGAAGTGGAACAAGCGAACTGAGAATTTTAAAGTTTTTGTGAAGTGTTCTAAGTGTTGAATTGAATACAGTTTTTAAGTTTTATTTCCGTGGAATTTTATTTATCCCGAACCCCAGCGCGTAACAATATATTTTATTGTCTGGCCTTTCAAAAACGTTGACTTGTCCCTTACAAGTCAAGATAATAAGTAATATTTCGTGCTTCAAGTAAGAACTTTGTGGCAGGAGTCAAAGAGCCTAATGCAGCTAGCTCGCGAGCTGTCGGTTGCTGACCACGGGTCTAGATGTCTTTTGAGGCATAGTTTAGCAACGCCATCTGGTGTTAGATGGTTACCGGAATCACGGCACAGTAGACACCACAGCATGAATCGTCCCGCCAACCTTGAGACATGAGGTCGGAATTCACTTTGTATAGTTGCGATACCAGGTTCGGGATTTGATTACTACAATAAAAAAAATTAGGCAAAAATGTATAAATTTTTTAAAGCTTTTTTTTATTTCCAGAGTAGTTGATATCAGTTGATACACCTCCCGCTATAGGAGATAAGTTAATCCATGGCACCAGAAACGACTTCTCAGAGCGCTCCAAACTATGGAATGAACAAGTACTCTGAGCGAGGTTTAGAGGAGCTCTTAGCGGTAGCTGCTGATCAGCATAGGCATAGGTTCGGCATAAGCAAGTATCAAGATCGAATAAAAATTGAAAAAGCTTCTCACCATCTTTAGTGATCCTGCAAATCAGGGTTTTCAAAACTCTTGGCTTGTAGTAAATGTCGTTGTCGTGTACAAATACTAAGCTGGAGCCGACCGGGGACCACTCCGCGTGCTGCAGCAGCGGCGCTGAACGATCGTCTTCCACTGGCGATATGGGGATTTTATTCCTGGAAATTAAAAAATTTTTTTGTTTGGTTTAGTTTTGGTTTAGTTTAGACTTAGATTTAGTTAAGGCTTAGGTTTAGTTTAGACTTAGGTTTAGTTTAGGCTTAGGTTTAGGCTTGGTTTAGTTTTGTTTTTCGGCAATGAGTTATGCGAGTGCTTAAATTAAATAAAAATCAAAAGGTTTTTTTATTTAGTATTTAGAATGTCAGCAATACGACCAAAGTAACTAGAATTTTCTCATGTTTAGTGCAATTTTGTCAACTGTTTCAAGCGCACAAACATCTCTCATTCAGTTAAAACTCATTAAATTTGGATTTCCTGTAGTGACTTCGTCAGTTTGATGATATTCTGATAAAACTCTAATCATAATATTCTTACCTATTAATCACGTCATAGACGTGGTATCTCGCCAGGCGGCCATGCCTCCAACCTGGTCTCACATCAGATATCAGCAAGACGAACTTCAAGTCTTGAGACACCTTGAAGTCCACAGCGTTTAACTCCCTCTAAAGAGAAAATGCTAAAGTTCATTCATCATAGAAAAATAGTGTACCGATTCATTTTCACCCTTAACATGTCCAACTTAAACATTGTTTATTTTTAACTTGAAGCAATGATGCGTTCGGCTTTGAAGAGGTGTTGTTGTAGTGTGCAGTAACCTAACCTTATCTATATATTTATACGTGAAGCAAAAACTTTGTACCCCTTTTTACGAGAATTGCGCGGACGGAGGACTATGAAATTTCCCACACTTATAGAGAATATAGAGAAGGAGTGCAGAATGTTAATATTTTTTTAAATTATGCATTAATAAAACATTAAATCAATAAAAAAAAAACATTACACACACTACCATGTATTTGACACACACAGATATATAGTTATATACTCTTTGTTTACTGTCAAACTTTTGTTATTGCTTAGAGTCTGTGGTCAAATTGAGAATAGGTTACTTAATATTGTTTATCTTTAATATTATTTGTCTTCATTTTAGTCAGGCGAAATCTGTGATTATAGACATATGACAATCGAATAGAATGGTCTTTGACAATAAAACCATAATAAAGTTCAAACTTATAATTTCAATTAATTAAAGTCGAATTTCGACTACTGCGGGACCTCTAGTATTTGTAACTGCACACACTAAATTATGTCAGTATTACACGAATTCTTGAATTGAACGATTCTCTTTTGTTTTGCCTACATCACTCCAATGCATTGTTATTCAAAGTATATTCGTCCTGATGTCTCAGAGCAGATGGAGGCTTGCAGGTTAGCTGTCGGGGCTCCGTGGTTCGTGAGGAACGTTGACCTACACGACGACCTGGGCCTCGAATCAATTCGGAAATACATGAAGTCAGCGTCGGAACGATACTTCGATAAGGCTATGCGTCATGATAATCGCCTTATCGTTGCCGCCGCTGACTACTCCCCGAATCCTGATCATGCAGGAGCCAGTCACCGTCGACGCCCTAGACACGTCCTTACGGATCCATCAGATCCAATAACCTTTGCATTAGATGCCTTCAGCTCTAATACTAGGGGCAGGCTTAGGGACCCCGGTAACCGTACTCGTCGAACTCGACAAAGAGGTCGACGTGCAACCTAACCCATGCATCAGCCCGCTGAGTTTCTCGCCGGATCTTCTCAGCGGGTCGCGATTCCGATCCGGTAGTAGATTCATTCGCGAAACAATTGCTCTTGAGTTGTTAGGTCTCCTTCGGAGGCGCTCGGGCAGTTGTTAGCAAATCCCACCCCTCTTGGCTGAGCCTTTGCTCGCCCACCTGTCCTGGTGAAACTGGAAAGG